ATATTTGTCATAAATAATTGAGTTGAAAGGATTGTACCTTTGGGATTTGAAGGCGAAACATTGACTGCAGTGCCACATTTGTTTAACATGGTCAAATTTAAAGCTCTGTTCAGAACATTTGGCATGATATATTGTATCGCAACACTCACATATTATGACTTTATGATGGCTTAGTACATTGCTATCACAACCTGGACATCTCTCTCTTGTAATATTAAAGTTTATTGAGGTCATATCGGTAAGATATCACCCCTACTACCCCTACTTAGGGCACTCCTATAGTCACCATTTCCACCTTTAAATCTTTCCGTGGACTGACTTCCACCACGTTGTACAATACATCGTTTTATATTCATGCAAAATATTTTCAGGCCTTCTCTTCCGAGATGTACAACATCATTGACCAATGGTGTTCCATCACGTGAGAATCTACCATACTTAGAAGGCATGCATCCGTTAACAGAACCTAGTACAGAGTTATCTATAATAAACATGTTTTTCCTATTATAAACCATGTCAACAATTAAACTGTTTAACTCCCCTATACGTGAGTTAACAAACTGTGATTTAGTGGGCAAGAGTAGACTAATATGAACTTTACTATTTGGATAAAATTGCTGAATTTCACTACATTTCTTCTTAAGCTTAGCAATAAGTGTTCTAGTAGATGGTCTGTTGTTATTGTCCCGAATATCATTGATTCCCGTGTGTATAACAATGTTCCGATAAGGGCCTATGTCTTTCGGAGAAGGAATATCGTCAATTTTAGCAGCCCACATTCGCTTACCAGGAACCCATTTTCCGAGAGTTCCAACATCTTTACCAAATTGAATATATTTAGTGTTTGAGTCCCCAATTAAAACTGTGCTATTTTTGTAGTAAGGCGCAATATGCCTAAAGGTAGAATCAATACAATTGATAAATTTAGCTCAGGCCGTTCAGCCACTTTGTTACATTCTCCATTATCATTCTGGGGTCTTATAACTTACAATTTTTTTGTAAGTAAGATATTTTTTCAACTTTTACAGAGATAACTACGCTGCAAGACCAATCTCCGATTGCCCCCAAAGAGACTAATATTCACATCGACGAAGAGGAAGCATCCAGCAGTACTTTTGATGAAAAAACAAATTTCGGTTGGTACATACTTATATCTATATTCATTATTCATGACTTTTTGTAGTAAAACATTAACGAAGTCTATTATGATTTATGCTATAAAATCAAGCAGTTCTTATAGAATCAATACAATTGATAAATTTAGCTCAGGCCGTTCAGCCACTTTGTTACATTCTCCATTATCATTCTGGGGTCTTATAACTTACAATTTTGTTGTAAGTAAGATATTTTTTCAACTTTTACAGAGATAACTACGCTGCAATACCAATCTCCGATTGCCCCCAAAGAGACTAATATTGATGCTCACAACGACAAAGAGGAAGCATCCAGCAGTACTTTTGATGAAAAAACAAATTTCGGTTGGTACATACTTATATCTATATTCATTATTCATGACTTTTTGTAGTAAAATATTAACGAAGTCTATTATGATTTATGTTATAAAATCTAGCAATTCTTATAGAATTGATACTATTGATACATTTAGCCAATGTACTAGACTCTCCATCATAATTGTAGGGTCCTACAACTTACAATGTTTGATTTTATTCAACTTTTACAGAGATGAATACGCTGGAAGAGTATAGAAACAAAGGCAAAGAAATCTGTAAAAAGTATTGCGAGTTTAAAAACCAATCTCCGATTATGTTACCGCCTGCCCCCAAACAGACCTACATTGATGCTTACATCGACGAAGAGGGAGCACCTAGCATGATCAGTAAGATTAAATCTGACGATGAGAAATCAAGACGAGACTATGAGGCTGAGGTGGTGACATATCGGGCTTTGGAGAGATTGCCAGAGGAAAGGTGTGTGGTTCTTCATAGCTTCAAGTACACCGATCGTCAGTACCGAATGTGTGATAAAAATACAGAACCTGAATTTGATGAAGCAGAATGTGACTTTGTTGTTATCGGAAGTAACTATGTCGCTATAATAGAAGTGAAGAATGTCGAGGATCAGGAAGATGGCAAAGTTACAAAGTCGAAGAAAAAGCGATTAAAAAAGGGGTTGAAAAAGCTTTTAAAAATATCATGCGATCAACTTGAAAGGACAAAATCATTGATAAATGGTCTTTTACAGCAAGTTTTCGCTGGAATGGAGGCAGATCAATGCTCAATAATATGCCTGTCCGCGTTTCCTAGCACAAGTCGTGTTCGATTTAAGAACATGGATGAACAGACCAAAAAGCAGATATTGTGCAAAGAGGACTTTATAGATTTCTCAAGCTGGTGGAAACAATATGTGCTAGGTTCGATATCTAGCTTTGTTCAAACTGAAACTTTTCTCGCCAAACACCAGGAAATGAAGCAAGTATTGGTAGCTATCTACTGTACTGATAAAAACCTATGTGATGAACTGAAGTGTTGCTTGGGAAAAGCTATAATGGACATTGACGACGAGTTGAAGAAAGGAAATATTACATTTCTCAGCAAAAACCGTCTACCAAATCCTAATGTGAGAAAAGCAACTGATATAAAGTCTGCAAATATTGACAGTGGCATTAACATTTTCAAAGACATGCTCGGTATAGAATACTTGACTGTGGAACAACATGATGCTTTCAACAAAGATCAGAATCTGCTGGCAATTAATGGACCAGCAGGTTCAGGGAAAACTATCATCTTGTTGGCTATGATCATAAAAGTGATCAAATCAAATGTGGATAGCAGAGCTGTGTTGTTCATTTTCTCAGAGGATAACATTTCATTTAAACGTTATCGAGATGCTTTAGATAAAGCTGAAATCAGTAACGAAGTGATAGCCACGGACAGTCCAAAGTTCATACTCACATTACAGAAGATATTAGAAAGTAATAGCAGGGTGGTAATAGTTAGGATCACATGTTTGTTATCTTTCACACATGTGTATAGAACAGTGACTAAACTGATGGAAAGGAACACACACCTATTTATTGATGACTGGCAGGGTATGGTGGGTCCGTTAAAACGAACAATGTTTACAGAGCTCGAGATACAGCAGATTGTCAGAGCACCAACTAACTGTGTGATCGCTTGTGATTTAACTCAGTCATCCTACTATAACACAGGATCATCTAAAAAAAAACGATTTTTCCCATCCTTAATAAACTTGCCCCCTGAAAACATTGTAACTCTATCTCTGAACTTAAGAAATACTTCTGACATTATTGACATTCTATCTAAGATGAGAGAGCACATAATTCTACAAGTTCCTCAAGTAAAAAGAGACTTAGCTATTCCTATGATAAAACACGGACATTTTATTCACGGACCACAGATTGTAGTGCATGTTATTGAGAAGACACTTGAGAAGGATTTAAGTGTGGTTATTGGTATCTTGAATGTAGAGCTAGATAAATTATGTAAAACAGACAATATTAAAATAGGTATATTATATAATACAAGATACAAATATTACAAAATAATTCAAAAGGTAATAGAAGAACGATGTAGTGTATTTGATAATAATAAAATAGAGTGGTGTAATGTTAAAAGTTGTTATTCAGTAGAGTACCCAGCAGTTATTGTGTTACTCGATTTTACTTATTATTTTAATGACCTACCTTCTCTTTACCTGCAGATTTCAAGAGCAAGAGTATATTGTGTTGTTATAGTATATAATTCAGATGATAGCATCTTCTTTTCAGGATTTCAACAATTAAAGATACGCCGCCGTTACTTGTCATTTAAACGATTAAATGATATATTGGTTGAACTTGGAGATTTAATCAGAATCATACGGCATGCTTGATAACACAGAGTTTATCTGTGATAAGAATATTTGTGTTGTTCATGTGAATGACACAAACACATTTTATTGAATGTTACATTGAAAATACTAATATGAGATAAGATTTGTAAAGTAACAATTTATACTGCCAATTTTATAATACACAGTGTTGAATTTAGTAGTATCAACAATATTAGTGAAACTACACAGCTGTTCTGAAAATAAATTTAAAATGAAGAAATTGAACTATTATACAAGTTCAACATGTAGCGTGATTATCAGAGTATGTACAGTATGATAGGATCCAAATACTTTACAAAGCTTATCAAATAGTTCATGATCACTGCACTCTGCACTCTGCACCTATCACCACACTTAGATTAAATACGATATATTAATATAATATAAATATAAAACTGAAGACAGTCTAAAATAACTTACCTTCTTTATGCCAGTTTCAATAAGCTTGTTATTACTTGTACTGTCTTCTAACCACCACGTGTCATGACGTCACACCACGTGTCATGACGTCACACCACGTGTCATGACGTCACACTTAAATAACTAACCTTCTTTATGCCAGTTTCAATAAGCTTGTTATTACTTGTACTGTCTTCTAACCACCACGTGTCATGACGTCACACCACGTGTCATGACGTCACACCACGTGTCATGACGTCACACCACGTGTCATGACGTCACACTAAAATAACTAACCTTCTTTATGCCAGTTTCAATGAGCTTGTTATTACTTGTACTGTCTTCTAACCACCACGTGTCATGACGTCACACCACGTGTCATGACGTCACACTAAAATAACTTACCTTCTTTATGCCAGTTTCAATAAGCTTGTTATTACTTGTACTGTCTTCTAACCACCACGTGTCATGACGTCACACCACGTGTCATGAAGTCACACTAAAATAACTAACCTTCTTTATGCCAGTTTCAATAAGCTTGTTATTACTTGTACTGTCTTCTAACCACCACGTGTCATGACGTCACACCACGTGTCATGACGTCACAACACGTGTCATGACGTCACACTAAAATAACTTACCTTCTTTATGCCAGTTTCAATAAGCTTGTTATTACTTGTACTGTCTTCTAACCACCACGTGTCATGACGTCACACCACGTGTCATGACGTCACACTAAAATAACTTACCTTCTTTATGCCAGTTTCAATAAGCGTGTTATTACTTGTACTGTCTTCTAACGCGAACTCGCTGTATATTTGTGGATACACATAGCTAAAACCAATGTTCCTGAAATTATTTATTTCAATTTCAAACCATGGCTATTATTTATAACTTTATTAGAATAAAAGTTGATCAATAGTTTATTAATAAATTAAAATAAAAGTTAAAAATCACTTTTAAGACTAGTGGCTACATATTATTTAAAACTTTACATGTCCCAAATATCGAGTGTTTTCGGAATTATGTCTATAACAGTGTTATAGTTATATAATTCCCCCACTGAAACACGATGTTGAATATTATCTCAGTTTCAAGAGCAGAGCCTAAATAACGTTAGGAATTCCAGGAATCTCACCAATGTAACTGCTCGCAACTCCAGGATACCATCTGATCTACCTGACTCTGCATCTCTTTAGACAGTCTCTGTACCCTGTATGTGTCATGCAGGTAGTTTATAATCGCTGGTCTGAAAAAGTGTGAGCTTAATTAGATTGTGGAATTTACCCTGGCGGCACTATGGCGGCACTCTGGCCGCCATAGTGCCACGAGAGTGCCGCGATGGGGCCATCGGGATCCGGATGTATGATCAATAATACTAATAGTGCTGTAATTTTGTCCGGAATGTTGCATGATTTTATAAATATGTTTAATTTGCTGGACCGATATATCGATATTGTCACAACACACAATGTTTATCAGGTACACTCAACACAACCACTATAAACAAACCAACTGTTTATAAACAAATCCCTATCAAAACATTGAACCATTCAAACTGAATATTAAAATGAAACAACTAAATTATGTAATATAATAATATAATAATTATGTAATATAATAATATAATTCCTCTCACCCCTCAGAAATACAGACACCATTATGTTGTATTACAGGCAGTGTATGTTTAGGGTTCTTCTCCAGGAAATCCGGGGTGAGATGTTCGTTCTTCAGTACGTTAACTTCAGTGTAAGAGTAGTCTATACAGTGTTCTTTAAGGAAGAGTAGTACAGGTCTACAGGGTGCAACTACACATGATGCGTATATTTTCAAGTCATCTGGCATGCCTGGTGAGTGGTGAGGGGGTCACGTGGTTTAGTGGTCACGTGGTTTAGTGATCACGTGGTTTAGTGATCACGTGGTTTAGTGATCACGTGGTTTAGTGGTCACGTGGTTTAGTGATCACGTGGTTTAGTGATCACGTGGTTTAGTGGTCACGTGGTTTAGTGATCACGTGGTTTAGTGATCACGTGGTTTAGTGATCACGTGGTTTAGTGATCACGTGGTTTAGTGATCACGTGGTTTAGTGATCACGTGGTTTAGTGATCACGTGGTTTAGTGATCACGTGGTTTAGTGATCACGTGGTTTAGTGATCACGTGGTTTAGTGATACTATACTAACACTATAGTGATACTATACTAACAATTATTTTATTACGATATACATGAAATAGAGTAAGGTAGTAAGAAGAAATGTGTCATTGAGACTAGCATATGCAGTGAAACAAATCTTAGAAATTTAGATTAAGTACACCCAACAAACGAAAAATAAAATACCTCAACTTACAAGTTAAATAAAGTATGATTTTATGGTTTTTATTTTAATTTTATAGTTTATACAAATAACATAATAAAATCCTGCTCAAATAAAATCGTCAGTCAATGGTGTAAACCCCTGCAATGCACATAATATTGTAATGTCGAACAGTTTTTTACTGTTCAATCATATTTCCTCTTAAATTAAGAACATGTATTATTTTTTAAATGGCTTATAAGAATTGTGAAGCACAAAGCTGAGAAATAATAACTCAAGACCCCTTGTCAATACCAGATGTTCTACATAACTCAAGATCCCTTGTCAATACCAGATGTTCTACATAACTCAAGACCCCTTGTCAATACCAGATGTTCTACATAACTCAAGACCCCTTGTCAATACCAGATGTTCTACATAACTCAAGACCCCTTGTCTATACCAGATGTTCTACATAACTCAAGACCCCTTGTCTATACCAGATGTTCTACATAACTCAAGATCCCTTGTCTATACCAGATGTTCTACATAACTCAAGATCCCTTGTCTATACCAGATGTTCTACATAACTCAAGACCCCTTGTCTATACCAGATGTTCTACATAACTCAAGATCCCTTGTCTATACCAGATGTTCTACATAACTCAAGACCCCTTGTCAATACCAGATGTTCTACATAACTCAAGACCCCTTGTCAATACCAGATGTTCTACATAACTCAAGACCCCTTGTCTATACCAGATGTTCTACATAACTCAAGACCCCTTGTCAATACCAGATGTTCTACATAACTCAAGACCCCTTGTCAATACCAGATGTTCTACATAACTCAAGACCCCTTGTCTATACCAGATGTTCTACATAACTCAAGACCCCTTGTCAATACCAGATGTTCTACATAACTCAAGACCCCTTGTCAATACCAGATGTTCTACATAACTCAAGACCCCTTGTCAATACCAGATGTTCTACATAACTCAAGACCCCTTGTCAATACCAGATGTTCTACATAACTCAAGACCCCTTGTCAATACCAGATGTTCTACATAACTCAAGACCCCTTGTCAATACCAGATGTTCTACATAACTCAAGACCCCTTGTCAATACCAGATGTTCTACATAACTCAAGACCCCTTGTCTATACCAGATGTTCTACATAACTCAAGACCCCTTGTCAATACCAGATGTTCTACATAACTCAAGACCCCTTGTCAATACCAGATGTTCTACATAACTCAAGAGTCAAGACCCCTTGTCTATACCAGATGTTCTACATTACTCAAGACCCCTTGTCTATACCAGATGTTCTACATAACTCAAGACCCCTTGTCAATACCAGATGTTCTACATAACTCAAGACCCCTTGTCTATACCAGATGTTCTACATAACTCAAGACCCCTTGTCAATACCAGATGTTCTACATAACTCAAGACCCCTTGTCTATACCAGATGTTCTACATAACTCAAGACCCCTTGTCTATACCAGATGTTCTACATAACTCAAGACCCCTTGTCTATACCAGATGTTCTACATTACTCAAGACCCCTTGTCTATACCAGATGTTCTACATAACTCAAGACCCCTTGTCAATACCAGATGTTCTACATAACTCAAGACCCCTTGTCTATACCAGATGTTCTACATAACTCAAGACCCCTTGTCAATACCAGATGTTCTACATTTCTCAAGACCCCTTGTCAATACCAGATGTTCTACATAACTCAAGACCCCTTGTCAATACCAGATGTTCTATATAACTCAAGACCCCTTGTCTATACCAGATGTTCTACATTTCTCAAGACCCCTTGTCAATACCAGATGTTCTACATAACTCAAGACCCCTTGTCAATACCAGATGTTCTACATAACTCAAGACCCCTTGTCAATACCAGATGTTCTACATAACTCAAGACCCCTTGTCAATACCAGATGTTCTACATAACTCAAGACCCCTTGTCAATACCAGATGTTCTACATAACTCAAGACCCCTTGTCAATACCAGATGTTCTACATAACTCAAGACCCCTTGTCAATACCAGATGTTCTACATAACTCAAAACACCTTGTCTATACCAGATGTTCTACATAACTCAAAACCCCTTGTCAATACCAGATGTTCTACATAACTCAAGACCCCTTGTCTATACCAGATGTTCTACATAACTCAAGACCCCTTGTCAATACCAGATGTTCTACATAACTCAAGACCCCTTGTCAATACCAGATGTTCTACATAACTCAAGACCCCTTGTCAATACCAGATGTTCTACATAACTCAAGACCCTTTGTCTATACCAATGTTCTACATAACTCAAGACACCTTGTCAATACCAGATGTTCTACATAACTCAAGACCCCTTGTCTATACCAGATGTTCTACATAACTCAAGACCCCTTGTTAATACCAGATGTTCTACATAACTCAAGACCCTTTGTCAATACCAGATGTTCTACATAACTCAAGACCCCTTGTCAATACCAGATGTTCTACATAACTCAAGACCCCTTGTCAATACCAGATGTTCTACATTTCGAGACCACATTTAACAATGCCTCCTGATAATCAACCTTTGTTTTCTTACACACACTCTGTAATGTCTTCTCATAAATCTTGTTCAACTTTGCGGATTCCTGCAGAGCATACTTTAAATCTTCTATCTCGTCAAAAAAATTCTTGTCTATCCCTCTCATTTCTGATTTTAACTTCTCGTATTCGTAACGGATTGAGTCTCTTTCTGCCGTTAATTTAAAGATTTCTTCTTTCTCGTTTTGAAGCTTTTTCTCGGTTTGTTGCTTGTATTTTTCTAAGGCAACGGAAGTTTTGTGGAGCTTTTCTCGGGCGGTACGGAGCTCAGTTTCTAGTTTTGAGTTGGAAATCTTGAGGTTGGAGATCTTCTCAGAGTTTTCTGTGTTGGTCGCTAGTTCTTTCTCGTATTTCCTGAAATCAGCTTATAATCATGCATATAATATACGAATGGCTGGAATAATACGGTCTATGGTGGCCCATGAAGGTCAACCGAATTTCAAATCGTTATCAGTGTGAACATTTTTTATTTTTGTATAAGTCGACACCTTTTTTAAATGGACCTCCTGATTCCTTACTTACCTGACTGGAAGAGAGTGAGTGTGGAGTAGTTTTGTGGAGTGTTTCTTCTGAGTACTAACCTTATTAGAAGAGAGTGGGTGTGGAGTAGTTTTGTGGAGTGTTTCTCCTGAGTACTAACCTGACTAGAAGAGAGTGAGTGTGGAGTAGTTTTGTGGAGTGTTTCTCCTGAGTACTAACCTTACTAGAAGAGAGTGAGTGTGGAGTAGTTTTGTGGAGTGTTTCTCCTGAGTACTAACCTTACTAGAAGAGAGTGAGTGTGGAGTAGTTTTGTGGAGTGTTTCTCCTGAGTACTAACCTGACTAGAAGAGAGTGAGTGTGGAGTAGTTTTGTGGAGTGCTTCTCCTGAGTGCTCTCCTGCAGGTCACGTGATAAGATTGTTTGCGTGGACTTTTCCTCAAGGTATCCACTGGCACTAGTTATCCTCACAGCTCTGAAACACGTGACGTAAAGTAAAGTGATTTAATTTATCAAATGCTATTCTATTAAATATTATCAAATACATTATCTTAAATTTGATCCTTCGAACAGCTGTTGAGCAATGAAACGCAAACATAATCTTAGCAAAATCAAATACATTACTCTAGAAAAGGACTGGGAAGGATGAGTAACAAAAATGAGACTACAATAAGAAATAATAGAGACTAAAGATAAAACAACAGATGGCCAGGATGAAACATAAAACTCAACTGGTCTCTGTAATAACTGGCAATATTGAAATTATAAAAGTTTTTGGCAATTAAATAAAATATTTGAACAGTCTACTAACATGTCCTTGTTATTTGTAGTCTGAACTAACAGCTCATTATATCTTCCTTTCAGTCGTTTATACTTTGCTGTTATTCTTTCGTTCTCAGCTTGCATCTAAGATATGTTTGATAAATAATCAGGGTAATGGTAGTACTAGTATAAGTAGGTGTACTTAAAAGCTGAAATCAAAAAAATTAAATATTTTGGTACTTTACTTACATGATAATATTAATATAATAAGAAGCATAACTTACTAAACAGCAAGGTCAGCAAGGTATTTTACTTATTGAAAGGTATTTTACTTACAGCAAGGTATTTTACTTACTGCAGGTATTTTACTTACAGCAGGTATTTTACTTACAGCAGGTCTTTTACTTACAGCAGGTCTTTTACTTACAGCAGGTATTTTACTTACAGCAGGTAACTTACATATAATATTTAAAACCTACAGCAGGTATTTAACTTACATATAAGCAGGAATGTAGACTTGGCAGCTCAGTCATCTCGTTATTTACACCTTGCTAAATGAATAATACTTAGTGTACTAGTAGTTCACCAATAAATCGTGTTTTAACTAGAAACACGCAACGCGAAATGACGTCACACCACGTGACATGAGGTCACACCACGTGACATGACGTCACTCCACGTGACATGACATCACACACCATGTAACATTTCTATAATATTTAGTAGTTCACCAATAAATCGTTTACGATATAAACTTAAAAGAAAATATCTGCGTTTCAACCAGTGCGTTTCTAGTTATGAATAAATCGATCTGTAAGACAGGTTCACAAGCTATGATATAATAAATTTGTAGGAACCCCTCAATATTCACAAGGAAGTTGCAAGTTTTAGTGTTTAGTGTAGGTTGCCTTCTGTTTTGCGGGGTTGGTTGTCGTCATTAAAATCGTCTTTTTGTCTCTCTGATTTCGCTTCTGAGCAGATTATTTCCACATACATTTGTATCAAATTCAGTTTTATATCATCATAACTTATAATACTCAAATCCTTAAATATCACTATATTGAAGAAGAAAAAATTTCCCGGCATACTCTCTTTTGAAAGGTAGTCTATCTGTCGTACCCATGTAGTATATTAATACCTCAATACATATTCCAAAAACATGATTAACCTCCCAACTAGCAGCAGGATGGGTTACAGCATTCCTCGCATTCCTGGAGCACAAATAAAAGAAAGAAAGCTCGAGCAGTACTGGCGACGTGTCTTCACTGTAAGTTCCATATTCTCGACAGTCGCGGGATGTCTCCTTATCGGTGCCTCGATAACCCTCTACACGGATGGTAAATATGAGCAGTATTTTAACTCCACCCAACACCCCCTGGTGTACCTCCTATTCTTCGTGTCCTGCTTCGGAGCTCTGGCTGGTTTCCTTGCTGTTTGCATTATCACAATCCACAGCTACAAGCTACTCTACGCAATGAACATCATGTTGGCTCTAGTGACAACAGCCAAGATAGCAGGAGTGTGTTTCGCGCTGGTATACAGAGTTAAAACACTGCACGGAGTCACCACCCAACTAGAGGAACACATGGCAAACTACTCTAACAACATGCAGGTGCAGTGGGACCTGGACACTCTCCAGTCACGTGACCAATGCTGTGGGGTGACCACGCCCCTCGACTGGGCTAACAACACCCTGGTTCAAGGCTCCTGGAACACCTCTCATCTGCCGGACTCCTGCTGCAGGGTGGTTGTACCAGAGTGTGGGGTTAACAAGGCTAATGTAGCAGTGCTGGAGGGTTTAACCCTGGCGGTACACAAGCAGGGTTGTTATCAGGTGCTGAGACAGTGGTTTGATTTCAGGATGAAGGTGATTGGGGTGATAGCGGGGGTCACTTCGTTAGGGGAGGCAGTGATGGTTGCTATATCTACTAGGTGGATACGGTTCATAGAACTTTACTGGTGAAACTTTTAACTTGCCATGTTTACTCGTACACTCTATGGTCTTGATGATACGATATGAAGGATAATTTCTCTTACTAAATGTTGTACCATCTGAAGCTAGAAAGACAACAATAGATTTTCAAACAAATTCCCATAACTAAAATAGTTTCTATTCATTACAATCACTGTACATCATTGAAAATTCGAGGCAAAATGAAAGTTTATTAAAACCCAAAAACAATTTACAGTTAGCGTCGGATATTTTAATCTACTAGAAGTCAAGGTCTAAAAAATAAGAGAATAATCAAATAAATCTTAAGTAATGCAAACATTTAGGCCATCCAAATATCACGACAGCCGAATTTATAGCCCCTTCTCCAATATCCATCGTCCGTTATTCTTCAAGAGCTCATATTACCATAATATGATTACATAAAGTGTTCAAATTATCGATAACTAGGAAGCCCGTGGTAACAGGGATGAATCTAGTAGTTTTCTATTTCTTTGGCAGTCAGTTTTTATCGCGTCAAAAAATATCCGTCACAACCAAAGATACAGCCGAGTTAAATGTTGCTTGTACTAAACACAGCGTAATACCAACAAAACCGATCAAAATGACGTTAAAACAATCATTGCACGTGCACGTGCGTGTAACAATCCTCGTTACCATGGTCACTATGCAACTTCCTATTTCTCGTCTGATTTGCACGTGGGCGGTCGTACAACATAAATAATTCTCTGAATTATAGTAGAGATATGGCTAAAATCTGCTTCAGAACATGGATGCCGATTTAATTTTTTTTTTATTTAAATGAGCTAAAACATTGATTTATTAGTTTCATTGATTTATTAGTTTCATTGAATTTTACAATCATCTGCTGGGTCAGAAAATTACGGAATTAAACAGCAGACCTCTTGAGCCCCCCCCCCCCCCCCCCCTCCCCCCTCTATCAAGTAGCCGTATTCTATGGATAGCAAAATTCGCCAAAAACAAGAACAACAATAATACAAAAATACAACAATTTAACAAACAGTGCCTGAATTCACTATACTATACAAACTCTCTATCAGTGTCTCACACAACCCAAAACATATAGTTTTCTAGGGTATGGCCAACAGCCATATTCATTTTCTGCCCTTCAATATCTTTGTTATTGTAGAAAATTGGGTTGTGTTTGCCTGGTCCTGAGATGAAAACACTATTACTTATTAAACTTAACAATACTGACTACAATGATCATCCTCCATTGAACATTTTTATCAAATAATAAATTAAAATTTTTAGTTATCCACAAAAAAAAGTATTTCCAGGATACAAACCACAAGTTGAGCTTTTTGCAGAATTAAGTTACTAAGTGATTAGGGGTTCCCGTAACATCCTTTGTGGTACACACTACACATGGATCAGTCAAACAGAAAGTTTGCTCCTATTTTTGGACAACAAAAAGAACTTATTTCACTTAGATTCTTTGAACTTTCAATATATCTTGTATCAATAAGCAAGGTCAGCTTACCAAAATCTTATCTCTGTGATAGATATATGCTGGTGTGGCTGTCCATGATGGTTTTGTATGTTGCTCCCAACTACCCAACTGTTTTCCAAATCCTGGATTCGGAAAACTCATGGGATGATTTTCTCTTATCTGAAATCACATCATTGTCACTGCACTCTACATGTTACCAAAACTCTATATACTATGTCGGTCAAACTATACAATTAAGAGACACAATTTGTGATGATTATATTATTACAATGCATCACATTAACATGTATCAATCAGGATAATTAATGTGTTCTCAATAATTGACTGCCTAAAGAAAAGGAAGTCAGTAGAATGTGAAAAGATCCACTTACCACTTTTAGGGCAGTTTGATAGTCTAATTTGAAAACAGATATCATATAAGATATGATCCCGGATACGCTTCTGGACATTCCCGCTTGACAATGGACTAGGACTTTTCCTGGAGTATTAGTTATTGGTTTGTATTTTGTAAGAAAACAATGAACAATAATTCAGTCTGAGAACTGTCCTGGGCACGAGGTTCAAGGGCAGGATATGATGAACATTGATGATTACACAATGGGGGTTAGCTTTGATTTCTCTAGAAGCATTGGTAAAAGAACTATCGACTGATTCACATAAAACAATGAGGAATGCAGCAAATAAATGATCATATTATTCATACGTATTGTTTAGATTAAAGTACTATACCTCGCTGAAGACCATTGGATATGATATCGACAATGTTGGCAAAATGTTTGAAGAGATCCTGATCAGCTGTGTCAGTTATGTTGACCTGATGATAACTGAAGGTTGATTTATTACTTTTTCGTCTTTTCTCAAAAATTGTCTTTTCTCAAACATATAAAGATTATTGATCTTCATTAAATAATTGAGAAATTATTGATTGATTAAAATATGTTTAATCAGTTTAATTTTCACCATTTACAGTGCCTCGATTCACCTTCAACCACAATTTACCATGGAAGCAAACATAAAATATAATTTAACTACCAAATGTGTTTTACGACTTATACTCACACAATGTCACAATTGGGTTCAAAAGGAAGTGCAAACTCTCTAATCGTCAGGACGGTTTTAATTCCTCTCTGAAAAAGTTATCAAATAATTTATCAACATAGTTTCTTGAAAGCTTTAAACTTGGGGCGAGGAGTAGAAGGACTAGAAGTACAGTTAAACCTCTATTATATACCATGCTTCTCAAGGGAAACCAAAGTTTACGGTATAGAGAAAGTTCACATGTACCCAATCTCCAGTTAAGTAAGTATCTGTAGCTCTGTAGCCTCTCAAACTTTACCTTAAAGGATCAAGCATTTTTGACTCTCAAAAAACGGGAAAATACCACAACTGATTAACCATGACGTGGCAATATTACCTCGTCTAGGAAGTGGCGCTTTGTAAAATGAAGTCCACTTATGAACAGATCCGGTAAAATTTCGTCCAATGGCATGGAAATTGCCTGTTTCGTTCATATCGTCAATTTAGAATAATATTTATAATTTGATTAATATATGCTATACTGGAAACGGACTCGTTAAAAAATTTATTCGAGGAAATTAACAATTCTTGATCATCTATCTCCGTACTGTAGGAAGTATAAATTTCATTTCACAATGACGGCAAAGTTTTAAGTATTCCCTTAACAATACTTTTTACCACATCAAAAAATGTCAATTGCAGCTAAATTTATGAATAGCTCAAGTGTAAATGTGAGCTAGTCATCTATTAAGCAAAGTTAACAGTCATAACTAAATGTTTTGGGTGTTAACAATTTTAAGTTAGAACATTAAATGGTGAATAATTTATCATTTATTTTATCAACGATGCCAATGTTTATTAAAATCTTTATTTAAATTTTTCAGCATAATATGAATCAATCTTAAACCGAACTTGTAAAAACATAAATATATGATTTGACAGGTAGCAACTGCATGGCATCCAGCACGTTTACTGGGCCGCGCTCAGCCTGTCATTCCGCCTAACATAATAGCACGAGGTCCCCAGGTACGTAACCAGCAAGTACACTGTCAAAACATAATTTATAGCTGTGTTGAAAATCAAAACATTGAAGAGATATGCACAATATATGTTTGATGTTATAAGTGAAACAAATTTAAAATTTTATCCTTTATTTTACAATCATAATATAATAATATTTATAAGCCTCCATTTTGAAAGTTTTAAATTTCAATATATTCAAATTTCTATTTAAAATTCAATTTAATGTATAACTCAATATTAACTGGCTACCAAAGCCGCGCATTTTTGAAAACAGGATTAGCTTGTTTATAGTTATACGACAACCTAAAATTTAAAACTGGTTTTTTAACATTTAAATTAAATTATATAGTCGTAGAAACTTTAACGTGAAATTAAACGACCGTGGGGGTCACAACGTGATACAAATAAAATTTACTATTAGATCATAATATATCGTTAACTTTAAACATTTACACTGCAACATGATTTCATCAATTTATTTTAAAAAAGCGTACTCCAGCCGCGCCCCTATACGCGTCAATTGTTATGCGGCGCGGCTCAAGCCGCGCACGCACGTATTATTTTATAATACGTGCGTGTATGCAATTGTGTTCAAATTTTGCAATTGGCTGAGCACTATAAATAGGTAACGGAAATGGTCCATTGCTATCAATATTTCTGAACTTGCTCTAACCAGAGTCCTTTAGCATCATGTATGTTATTTTTAGCGTTCTCAACCAGCAAATGTGGGAACTCCCACGAAGGACCGAAACAGATCTAAAGAGACAATTATCAAAATCGGAAAAATAGACTTGAATTTGTTTAAATAATTTATATAGCGTATATTATTGCCCACGTTAAGGGGCCTATTAATAATTGATAAATTGTTAGCTATTTTAGATTTTATTTTGAATTGTAGTTGACGAAGTGAGAGTCTCCACTCAGTGTGTTAAAACATTGTAGCGCGATGCACTACTGGGTCGCGCGCGCATCAAATAATGCTTCTCGCATCAAATAATGCTTCTTCGGTAGATCGGCGAAATGCACCACTGTGCCTCACCGAGCTGCGAAGGATTGACATCGTGAATCAAGTTAAAACATAATTCTTTGTCGACGTTTCGGCTACATGCCTTTGTAATTAAATAGACAGGACGTATTGATAACTTACATAGCTCAATAAATGTAATAGATTTGTAGTGTTGTAATTGGTTTAAAACTGAGTGGAAACTCTCACTTCGTCAACTACAATTCAAAATACATGATTGACCCACTCATAAGAGCAAAAAAAGATTACCACTATTTTAGATTTAATAATAATAATAATCTTATCTAGAAGAAGTTCTGATCCCAACAAAAAACATTTATTAGGAAAGTTTAATTTCTTTGGGGACAAAATGAATCTCACCAGGATTTAGCCAACTAGATAGATTAGAAACTAATGAAGTGGCAAAGAAGCGTTTTATAAATCTTTACTCCATTGGGAAGTTTTTAAAATAGGATAATGTTTTTGATAAATTTTATAAAAATATTGTTGTGGAACACAACAAGAAAATTGAGAATAATCTTGTGCGAGGGTAGGGACCCAGATGTCGTTTCAAACCCAAATAAACTTTAAGGATGCTTCTCATCAGTAGCCGCACCTTCTTACTCGGTTTCTGAACTGGAATTTTATGGGCTTCCAGACGGCCAGACCGAGTGTTGCCATCCCATCCTTCTAGAGTTCATCACAAGTAACACCCACCTTGAAGATCTTTGACATCCAGACACACCCCATTGGCGAACAAACTTTGGTTATAATCTTACATGCTCCAGAAGGAATCTCTGGTTTATGGTCTTTCTCATTGTCACCAGCACTTTCACTAGGTCACCAGCTCTTTCACTGAATTCATCAGCCCTTTCACTGAAGTCATTAGTAGGTTTACAACCTACCAGGACGCGCCGAGTTGGACAGCCTAACTTTTCGTTCAGTTAGCTTCAGGAACAAGAACTCTACGTGCATCATAGGAGACAGTCATACAGGGGGGCTTAAGTTTGGGTCAGATGCCAGGAAATCGTTTGGACAATGGTTCCCTGGGAGGCAATATTTTGCACCAGTGGTTGACCAGATTGACCCATATGTCACATGTGGTTATCGTAATGTTGTTTTGATGTGTGCGATTAATGATCTTAAAAAACCCGAGATCAAGAATACAGCTGATATTAAACGAAATGTATTTATTCCCTTTATTAAAAAGATTGAGAAAATTCATGCTATTAACCCTAAGGCACATGTATATCAATGAAACTAATAAATCAATGAAACTAATAAATCAATGTTTTAGCTCATTTTACAAAGTCAAATATTTAAAACAATTAAAATTGTATAGTGCTCAATTTGTAAATGACTAGTTGATCTTTGCTATTGGAAGTTTGTCAAGGACTGGCAGCTAGCGGGGCAAGGAATGCACGGGCTTAGGGGCTTTTGTGCACACCAGAACACTAGCTCGGTAGATTTTTTGGAAACTAGAAGGACTGAAAACTAAAATTGTTTTTGATGGAGGCTGAGGCATGTTTTTGAGAGGGACGGTATAATAGCTTGTGGTAACAACTGGCCTTTACTTTAATAGGATGAAGTTTTAGTTTTAGGACATGAAGAATGCATTAAGAAGATTTGCTCTTTGTTTACAAGGCAGAATATAAGCAATGTTGGTTATAATATGTATCAATATCTAGATCTTCGTTTATCAATTTTCACTAAATGGGTTTAAAATTTTAATAGGGAGGGAAATTCATCAACTTATTAAGTACCTATCAAAAATAAATCTTATATCAATGTAATATATTAAAAATCATAATCCTAAGTCTAATAATAAATCTGTTAAAAACACTTTCTCACTACACTGCGCTCACACACGTTAGTAAGACAAAGGAAAATGCACACCCAGCTAATTTTCAATTTCAAGATAATCATTTTGGATGTGTGGACCCTAGGGTAGACTTAATGTCAAAATTTAGATTAGAGCATTCGAAATCTTTGTTTGTCCAATCAAGATCAGCATGGTTATGCTGGTTGACGAGCAGTGATTGCTTCATCCTAGACTTCAGGCAGGCCACACTAAGACAGTAGTCACGTATACCAAGCTTAGGCACAATTACGTTCCAAATACGAGTCGTTCTGCTATTGAAGTTGTCAGGGGGGTCTGCTTGGCTTAGTATAAGGGTGGGTTTCCTACTTGAGCAGGTGAAATTTTCATGGAGGGAAATCGGAGCACGGAATTTCATGATTTTATAGAGCTCAAGGAAACAATGGTAAGTGTACAGGTTTTGGACGGCAAGTATTCTGTGTTCCTTGAACAAAGGTTTCGTGTGCTCTTTCAAGAAAAATTTTTTGTTCAGATTTTGGTTGCCAAACGGTCGAGCACGAGCACAGGTCTTAAATTTATCTAGGTATGCCTCCCTGTCGCCAAACAGTACCCTGAGACAATATTTTTGTGCTTTGAATACAGAACTTATACGAGTTTTGGCTGCCCCACCCCAAACCGTGATACAATAGGAGAGGTGTGATTCAAATAGAGTGTAATACAACTGGCGGTGTAAGAAATCTGGGAGGGAGCAGCGTAGGCGGCAGAGAGTTGATGTTGCATGGCTGAGAGAACGCCTAAGTGATTTTATATGTTCTTCCCAGGTTAGCTTTTCATCGATGACGACTCCCAGAAACTTAGCAGATGCAACTTGTTTTATTGGAAAGTTATCAATGGTTAGAGTATATTCAGAATTATTGTCAGTCTGGGAGGACGATGCTGGTTTAAAGTGAATGAAACAGCATTTAGACAAGTTGACATGGAGTTTGTTTGCTCGCATGTAGGAATATAAACTAGCTAAAAGAGAATTACCACGCATATATGCCTCCTTTTTAGATTTCCCAGTCACAAATATATTGGTGTCATCAGCGAAGGTGACAAATGATCCCAAACTGGAGCTGTTGGCGATATCATTAATATATAGGAGAAATAAGAGAGGTCCAAGAATCGAACCCTGAGAGACTCCAAACTGTATTTTCAAGGCGTCAGATTTCTCACCAACAACTTCAGTATATTGTGATCTATTTGTTAAGTAACTTTTTATAAGATCATTTGCCACCCCACGTATCCCATAGCCCTGTAATTTGACAAGTAATGTCCAGCCCTGCCTACAAAGCTTGCTGAACTGAATAGAAAAGTTGTTTGCTTTAACCGCCTTATTCTGACAGAGCTGATCCCTTCAAATTTTGGTGTGACTTACGTCGATGGGTTCGGTGGGTTCTGTGATGATGCTGGGCTTCTTAGCCAACAGTTCTCCAGAAACATCGGCCGAGACCAGCGACCAGATCATCTCCACCTTAACTGGAGGGGTACAGCTAAACTAGGCACTTTGATTCGTAACACAGTGCTTCTTAGAATGAATGGAGGAGTTGATAGAAGGAAAAGGAGAACAGACGAGGTTGATGGACGCTCATATCGGAACGTGTTGAGTGGGACGGGTTCTACTACTGCTGCTGAGTCTCGACACCAGGATGGTTACCAGCCATTCTGACTCCCCTGATTAAAGAGGTATGCCTAGTCTGTGCGAAGTTCATTAACGTAGGACAATTCATTGTTGAATGCTGTGAATGCGACTGCCCAATGCACCATAAGTGCTATACCAAATCCATTAACAATGACACATTATCTGACGATTTTTACTGTCCCAAGTGCGTACATTTAGCAGTTATTCGTTACAATCCATTTCGACTTGCATGCACTAATTTAAGTGATATTGAAAGTAGTGAATTGGATGACACTATCATAAAAGTAGATCAAATACTAAATAACTGCGTATCGTACAATGTCAAGGAATTCAACAAAGCACTAGATAATCAAATGAATGAATTTTCATCGCTTCTCTTCCAAAACATCGACGGCAATAAGTCAAATTTCGACACTTTCGCTATTGAATCCCATAGGCTCACCAAGAAATTCTCGATCATAGCCTTAGCGGAAACAAATGAAGGTCCTGAATCCAGCAGTTTGTATCAATTAACTGGATACAACAGTTTCTACCAAAACACAATACCAGATAAAAAAAAGGGCACTGGAGTAGCTCTCTATGTTTGTGACACTCTTAGTGCCAGAGTAAACGGCAATGTATCCCATATCACTGAACATTTAGAAACTCTTTTTGTGGCCGTAAGTAGTACAACTTCCCCAGTAACAGTTGGTGTAATGTACCGTCCTCCAAGTGGTAATGTCAATGTTGCACTATCTGAACTCTCTGACATCCTTGACAGTCTCCCCAAGTGTAGTTACCTAGCGGGTGATTTTAACATTGATCTACACGATAAGAATAGCACAATCGTACAACGCTATGAAGAAATACTATTAAGTAAAGGATTTTTCCCCCTAATTTCGTTAGCAACACATGAGAAACCAGGCTGCAAAGCATCCTGTATTGATAACATAATAACTAACGACATAGAGAGTATAGTAGCTTCTGGAATACTGACTGACCGTATATCACACCACTCACCCATCTTCCAAATCTTTGATAGAAACTTGGACTCTAGCAGAATTGACCTGAAATACAAACAGTATTATGATTACAACAAACCGAATGTAAAAGCTTTTTTACAGACTCTGGAACATGATCTCAATAATAATGTTATCGACAATTTTACAACATTTCACGACATATTTAAGGACTGTATAGATAGAACTTGTAAGTTAGAAACCCCTAAATGCTCTAAAAGAACAGCACTGAACAACCCATGGATTACACCAGACCTTGTGGGCAAAATTTCATATCAGCACGAACTTTACGATAAATGGGTAAAGGTCAGAAAAGTTAAATGTAAATTTGGGGAAATTGAAAATAAAGGGGGGACATGCCAATGCCCAATATGTTGCTCAAAACGTGACAAGTATAAAAAATACAGTGACTGCAGGCGGAAGGTCAAAAAAGATCGCCGCAATGCTCAATCTAAGTTCTATGGTGGAAAATTTGCAGAGTTGCACGGAAACAGTAAAAAGACGTGGGAATTAATTAACCAAATACGAGGTAAACGAAAACGACAAACCAAACCTCTATTTACTATCAATAATGAAAAAATTACTAATCGTAGGGTAATAGCTAATGAGTTTAATAAGTACTTTGTCTCCCTAGCTTCTAATCTTAACGAGGCATACAATGAAATCGGCGAACTAGTAATTAATGGCATCCCCAGTATCTATGACTACCTACCAAAATCCAACACGACCAGTATTTACATGCATGATTGTACAATCGATGAAGTATGTAAAATAATATCAGAATTGAAAAATGGCAAATCGTCTGATATCCCAATACATGTTGTAAAAGCGTCATCCAGAATTATCGCCCCCCTATTATCTGTACTATACAATGAATGTTTGAAGGAGGGAATATTCCCGGACGATTTAAAGATTGGCAGGATCAGTTCCATATACAAGAAAGAAAATGAAGAATTACTTGAAAACTATAGACCAGTCTCTACCTTAGCCGTATTTGGTAAGTTATTCGAGAAAATTATATATAGTAGGCTATACAGCTTTTTCCAGTCACAAAATATGATCTATGAAAATCAGTATGGATTCCGTAAAAATTACTCTACAAGTCATGCCCTGAATTTCTCAGTGAATTATATAGAATCATGTCTTAATAAAAAGCAGCACGTGCTCGGAATATTCATTGATCTAAGCAAAGCATTCGATACCATCTCAGCTGACAAATTACTGAGTAAGCTAGATAATTACGGAATTCGAGGCAATGCCAACAAACTCATTGCTAGTTATCTCTCTAATAGATATCAATACGTTTCGGTCCTAGGAGAAGAGTCTGACAAGCTTCCAGTTCTCTTTGGAGTACCCCAGGGATCTTGTCTTGGTCCGTTACTATTTATTATTTATATCAACGACCTATATAGGGCAACTGAACTAGGCAAGTTCATTCTATTTGCTGACGATACAAATATATTTGTCGCGGATGAATGTAAGATAAAGTTATATGAACGAGCAAACCAAATTCTCAAACTGGTACAACTGTATATGAAATGTAATCTCCTGCATATTAACATTAAGAAATGCTGTTACATTCACTTTAAACCAACGAATAGAAAAAGCAAGGTAGAACATAATGAAGAAGAACACGTACTTACTCTAAACAATGTAGTAATAAAGCAAGTCAAAAAGGTGAAGTTTCTTGGTGTTATTATTGATGATCAGCTTAAATGGGATGCTCATATACGGTCGCTCAACACAAAGCTGAAATGTGAAAGTGGGAAAATTTGTAGAATACGGCACATTATTCCAGAAAAACTCTACAAAGAACTGTCCTACACACTATTTGAATCACACTTGCGATTTGGGATATCAGTATGGGGTGGCCTTAGTAACAACAGGCTTGAACCAATATTTATCACTCAGAAGAAATGTGTTAGAATACTATTTGGTAATCGAGAGGCGTACTTAGAAAAGTTTAGAACTTGTGCTAGAACACGAAGTAAAGACAAGCAAAAATTGGGAAGCGACTTCTATGAAAAACAGCACACAAAACCGCTATTTAAGAAAAATGGTTTACTAACCATACACAGTTTGTTCAAACACACATGTTTATTGGAAATGTTCAAAATCAATAAATTAGAATCCCCAGTCCCACTCCTAAATCTATTTCACAGATCATCAAGACGTGCTGATCGATTCATCACTCCAACCCCATCCACCTCCTTCATATATCAATCGACAAAAATGTGGAACGATTGTAGAAACACTGCTAGCAATATCAACTTCTCTACATCAACGAACCTTGTAAAATCCACAATAAAAAAGGAGTTACTCGGCATGCAGTCCAGGTACGACGATATAGATTGGTGTGAACTGAACTTCGATTCCAACGAACTGAAATTCTAATGTCTACTCAATGAAGATATGCTGAGCGCTAAAGCCGATTGAAATGTTAATGTCTAAAGTATAAAATTTCGGCGGTCACGCCGCGCATTTTGCGCGCTGTGCCGCTATTTTTGGCCCATCTTATCAGATATTATTTACAATGTACTCGCACAGTACATGCAGGGCATGCCTCAAGATCATATTAGTGTAGGAATCATTATGTTTTCAACAATTCATTATATGTCGAATTCAGCAGTGGGTCCTCTCTTCGTCCGGTTTGTGTGTTTGTCGCCTGTCTGGACTCTCGTAGTCATGTAATTTTTAATTTTTAATTTCTAATTTGTTATTTTAATTTTAATTTTAATTTTTCAATTTTCTAAATGTGTGTTCTGCTCCGGGACTCGATTACCGTTTCGGCTTTCTTGAGACTGTAAATTTGGAAAGCCAACTATGCGGGGCGCCTGCCCACCAGCACTGAAGAGTGATCAAAGAATTAACTAAAATTTCCTAATATAACGATTGAATATAGAGTTGTTTAACCGGCGCGGCCATGGGTGTGTGGCCTAGCTTTGGCTGCACACCTATGACTGCGCTGTTGCTGGTGGACAGGCGCAGTTTTTGTTGTGCAGTAGTGTTGCAAGAGAATAAAACCAACTTATTATGTACTAAATGGAATCAAGAATATTATTGACTATATTTGATAACGATGAATTGTAAATTTCGATCAATTTATATTTTCGGTCTCCAATTATTGAACTGCGGAAGCTGGTTGCCTCAACAATGTTGACTATGCATGGTATGACTGAATTGTAAACACGTGATAACTGAACGAAAAATAAATGATGAACATGATTCAAAAACTGTAAACCACCAAATGAATTATCGCTTAAATTTAAATAAGTATTTAAACAAAAACCATCATGTGCCGTTAAGCAGCAGGGCGCGGCTCATCTGGGCCACAGCAAATCGGCGAAAATGGGTTCGAAAAAGCCACTATTGGCACTCGAGTCCTTGATCTTTCCGATGGTTCACTGGGGCTTTTGAGCTGCCGTCCTTCAGCTTCTGTAAACTGAAATTACTACCAATCCAAGTTGAGGCAATCAGCCGACGCGCGGCTTTCATGGTTATATATGATATGTTTAATCTGTAATAATATGTTTAATCTGTAATGATATGTTTAATCTGTAATAAAGATCAAAATTCAAATTTGTTTCTCAATATATGGAACAAATATTTTACGAGTATCACCTGTTAATGAAGTCATCAGATCTGTTACTCTGATCAACGGTATAGTTGTGGAACACAACAAGGAAATTGAGGATAATCTTGTGCGAGGGTAGGGACCCAGATGTCGTTTGATAAATAATTAATGTTGGTTGGGGAAATATTTATTATATATTTTGTCACATAGTGCGATGATATTTTGTAGACATGTGTGATGATGTGATGTCATAATTTTTACTTCTACTTAATTGTTTTCGTGGCACACCTGTGCATTTTAAGTCTCATATGATATCATTTAGCTATCAACCTTGGATCACAACTTTAGCACATACAAGACTCTGCACACATCTTAGGGAAATGATACCACCTTGGGGGCCGGGGGTACGGGTCTTCATCAAAATTCTCTCGAAATTGATTTTATAGTTGTTTCTGATATCTATCAGAAGGGAAGGGAAAGATATCTATCAGCTGCTTTTGGTCCCATGAAAAAATATTGTTCCTATCTGAAATTATCGCTGGTCAAAGGTCAGCGCTTATGTGTGATTGTATTGCGCGAGCGATTTTCAATCGCGTGTCCTGAAAATCGAGTCAAAAAGTCTATCTTCTCCTACATTTTTTGAGCAATCACCCTGAAACTTTCAGGATACGTTCTAGGGATCATTTAAAAGAGATGTATCGAGCCGAATTTTAAGATAGTCCTCAGAAAATTTTTTAATTGATTTGAAAATCCTGGACCTAAAAATGAGGTCCAAGATTTTCAAAATCAACAGCTTTATTTGATGTTGATCAGATAAACATCAAATTTTGATGTATTATCAAAATTTGATGTTTTTATATTTTTAGCTTTGGATGAAAACTTTTAAAGGGATTCTATTTTTATTTTTTCAGATCTGACATGATATGGTAGCCTATGATAATTAGATTTTTATCATCATCATGTCCTCTGAAGGAATATCAGTTATTTTTGGAAGTAAGCATTTTTTATGGACAACATTCCAAAGCTTGTCAAAGTTTACAAAAAGGTATTTGATTTATTTTGAAGAATGACTGTCAGACTTGTTTCACGATTTTGAAATGTCGATCGCTTCAAAAAGGGAGTATGGGCAGATAATCTTTGAGGATACTGAAATGCAGTAGTATTTGAAAGAAAGGGGGGACCCCTACCCATGTAGCTGAGACACTTCACAGCAAGAAGACCAAAGTGGCTCTTGCTTGTTAAGGGTGCACCTGCCTAAGCAGTGGGTTGGGAGTCCCCCGCGGCCCTCCCCTGGGATCATTTCGTCCATAAAACCTACAATAAATAATCTATAAAATTTACATTACAAAATTAGGACACCTCATAGCTCATCTTCTGAGGGATGAGATTGAAGGATTCGTCATCCAGTCCAAAGTGCTGGGCTTTTTGTCTTTCTCTCCCTATTTGAACAGTTAAAATGTTAAGTCTGTTAAAAATAAGTTTTTCATTACTTTTCTTGGAGTTTGGACACATTTAATTTACTCATACCATTGTATATAAATGTATCATAATTTCCCTTAAATCAAGCATATTAGTTCTAGCTAGAGATGCCAATCAATGGAAGGTACTACCAAAGACCGCTCTTTGCACGTGATCATATCAACAAGCAGCATGCTATGGATAAAGTAGAAGGAAAGGGAGAAAAGTTTTGTGCTCAGGAGATGTTTGAATACTTCAGTTGCTCACAGTAAGCAGTTTGTTTTACATTTCCAATTTAAATTGATTTTGTAATCTGAAATACGTTTATACCCCCACCATTTCTTTTCCATTTCATTTTACCCTAATTTAATGCTGATAATTATGCATCGTTCAGGCGAAATAGAAATAACATCGATTCTTGTCGAGGAGAAGCTGATGCTATCAGACGTTGCATGAATAAAACATTTAAAGATATAACAGCTAAACAAGTAAGCACACAATTTAAACATTATTTGTGATATATAATTATATATAACATACAATGTGAAATACTTATAATTATATGAAATAAAGCTTTAAAAAAGATAGGAAATAATTCAAACATTGAAACAAATTGGCATTTCATACTGTACTGGGGAAACTTAAATGATTGAAGCTCATAGTACAATTTGAAACCATGTCAGGTTATAATAAATTATCACATTGTAAGAAAACAATAAATTGATACTATACTCTGTAACACACGGCATCTTTTTCAGATACCGTTAAGGACGCAGCAGTTTCTGAAATTACCTAGAATGGTGAATAAGATGAAACATCTGAAATGAACAATTGTAACTGAAGTGTCACATCACTTCAAACATCTAACACAACTCTAAACGCCCTTGCCTTGATACCTGAAGATGTACGATTGTTGTTACTTTTTGTTGGTTATTCAATTTCCATCAAAACCAGAGAAGTTTTTCAGAGTTCTATGATCAAGAGACATACTTTAGGGAAATTCGAATATTGAATATGAAAGTATACGCTTGTGGTTTGTTACTGTTTTTATACTGTTAATTTATTGATTTCATTTCACCTTTATTGTGTCGAATGTTTAAATACTCAGTTCAGTGAGGCCTGTAATTTTCAACAACCACCCTCTGCTCCAGTTTATTAATTTAAATCAGTTGAAAAACTGAAATTATATAATATAAACTGGTTAAACTTGCCTCATATTAATGAACTAACAAATTCTTCACTGCTTACACTAACAAGTTCTTCATCAGATGACAGAAAAAGTACCCCGCGAACAGGTTGTTGTTGAGGAGATCCTAAAAGAGCACAAGATAACCAGATACCAGCCAGGAGTAGTGAACTACCTAATGGACTATGTGTACTGCTACCTCCAAACGGTCCTGGAGGATGCTAAGATCTACTCTGAACACGCAAACAAGAGACATGTAGATCTGGATGATCTACAGCTAGCGGTTAACCTAACCCTGGATAAAACCCACAACACCGTGCCCAGTAAGGAGTTCTTGCTGAAGCTAGCTAAAGATAAGAACAGTCAGCCACTACCACCTCTACCAGAGGGTAGATGTGGCATTAGGTTACCCCCGGATAGGCTTTGTTTGACTAACGCTACTATTAATGTCAGGAACAATCAGAAGGCTCTTCCAGAACCAGTTTATAGGAACTTTAGTAGTAGTTTTGGGATAAAGTCAGAGCCGTTGCCACCACCAGTGGCCCCCGCTAACCCGTACTCTACATTCACTCAGCAGTTCCAGGAGGCAGAGAATGTGGGATTCCAGCAGAAACACTATAGTGGACAGGTGTATGGTAAACGGAAACACGATCAGATGGATTTAGATGATTATGATATGTGAGGGAGTTTTCAGAAAACATGTCCCGTCATCAGAATGTCACGTGATCATATTAACACGTCAGGTGATCAGATTAAGCGAGGTTATAATTTGTTGTTGGAGCTAGCTGTGTAATTCGAGTGAAAGTGAAACGTTCGTCTTGATACGGAATTCTACGAAGGAAGTTATTCGATGGAACATTTAAGCATTTATAAATATTAAATAAGCATACAGTCGAATGTGATTCACGTACTCAGTACTCTAGTTCGACACGCACTTTAGTTCGACAACTTAAGTTCGCCAGATATCACCCCTGTCGAACTTCGGTACATGACGAACTAGAGTCCAGGTAGCTTACTCTAGTTCGACAAATAGTTGCTGCTTGTGATCCAACGGCTATTGCCGGGTCCTCATCGTAGGATCACCCGGTTCAATGGCAGATAAAACAATTTTCTGACATTTAGCAACCAGCGATTAGAAATTCCAGAACCTTTCAGTATAGTTTGAATTCTCCTGTTTGCCACTTGGTTCTGGTCTAGCTAACAGGACCATAGATTGATATCCGACTGTTTCCGGTTCAGCAGCCAAATCTCTAGACCGTTACTCGGTTTCTAGTCGTTTGTGATAATATAAAGTGCGGTATGTGGTAGATATTTATATAGCGTACTCTGCAATCTAGATCTATAAAACGGAGTACGAGTTACCACGATAGTCTTTTATCTCTCCACTAAGTCTACAATTCTGCTAACTAACAATTGAGTCTGAGGTCAATTAAATGTTCATAAATATGGATTATAAAGATTACATTCACACATAGTTGAACAGCATGAAACAAGTGTAAAACTAACAATTAGATTTCAAGCTCGTAAAGGATCGTTGCTTGAGATCAGAGATTTCAAAAATCTAGTTTGACAGTCGAAGTTATCTTTTCGAACTTTAGTACGTGTCGAACTTGAGTCCAGGTAAAGCACTTAAGTTCGACAGAGTCGAATCTTAGGGTTTGCCGAACATTAGGGTTTCTCGAACTACATTACGTGTCGAACTAAAGTGCGTGTAATAATTTGCTAGTGGTGCCATCGCGACATTTGTAAACAACATAAGCTCAGTAAACACCTTAAAACAAATTTATGAAATATCGAATTCGATATCAGATCCAAGTTTAATACGTTTGTCGTTTAACTACAAGATTTTGAGTTTTTGATAATTATAACAAAAAATGCTCAACTGTAAAAATAATGCTTCCTGGCTTACTTCGATCTGTAATCTTTCAGACGAGTGTCTGATCCAAACAATATTGACTACTAATTCCTTACTGCCCTGTTTACATAGTTTACATATTTTCTCTTGAAGAGGAGAGTTTTAAAAGTGCTACAAATTGTTTGCCGATTGTTTATTTATTGTTTGAATACCAATTTAAATACTACCTTTTCCAACTATAATATATAATGTATTAACATAAAATTTGATTTAACAATCCCCTAAAAATAACACCTTATTAGGAATTGCATTTTATCGCACGTTGACACCACGTGACCAGTAGTATGTTCTCGTATTCGCAGTCTCCCACCACTAAGAAGCTACTTGGGTGGAAGCAGGGGGATGAGGAGGAGAAATGGGCCAGCAAAGGTAATCATTTACAGATAAAAAAGCGACTTTTCCTATTATTACTATTTTCGTTTGTTTACCAATTGCTTTAATCGTTGCCTAGTTTATTTACTCTCATGGAAATCATTGACCAAGCTTCTATCTTACTGTAATAAAAGTCTTGCGATGACCGGGAATCGAACCCGGATCCACTGCTTGGAAGGCAACGATGCTGACCATTACACCATCATCGCTCTGTAGATGTAGATATTTAATCTTACAAAATATAATGCACACAATATTGAAAAATATGTTTAAAAACATATTTTGTTTGGAATCTTGTTTGATTAATCTAATTCGAAGTTTGTGGAACATTCTTCAGTAGTAATCTCGAGGTGATTGTATTGTTTGAATTAAATGTAATAAATAATGGTTAACATGGTGAAATCCCAAACATTGGGCCCGGCTTCAATTAACACATTCCACATTTCTACGACGTCAGATAAAATTCTTAAATTCATACAGAATACCATTCGGCATTTTATCCCGAATTTTGTTTGCGAATTTGAATAATGAAGTATGAACTAACTCAGTAACGTATATATTTCTTTTGATGTATAATTCTATTCTCACAGACACAGATCTTAATCGATTAGGATAGTAATGAAATACAGAGCTATCTCTAGTCTGGAGTGCATCCTCCTTATAATCCCAGCTAGATATACATTACAATGTTCATTTCCTCCTTGTAATCCCAGCTAGATATACATTACAATGTTCATTTTCTCCTTATAATCCCAGCTAGATATACATTACAATGTTCATTTTCTCCTTATAATCCCAGCTAGATATACATTACAATGTTCATTTTCTCCTTATAATCCCAGCTAGATATACATTACAATGTTCATTTCCTCCTTGTAATCCCAGCTAGATATACATTACAATGTTCATTTTCTCCTTATAATCCCAGCTAGATATACATTACAATGTTCATTTTCTCCTTATAATCCCAGCTAGATATACATTACAATGTTCATTTTCTCCTTATAATCCCAGCTAGATATACATTACAATGTTCATTTTCTCCTTGTAATCCCAGCTAGATATACATTACAATGTTCATTTCCTCCTTGTAATCCCAGCTAGATATACATTACAATGTTCATTTTCTCCTTATAATCCCAGCTAGATATACATTACAATGTTCATTTTCTCCTTATAATCCCAGCTAGATATACATTACAATGTTCATTTTCTCCTTATAATCCCAGCTAGATATACATTACAATGTTCATTTTCTCCTTATAATCCCAGCTAGATATACATTACAATGTTCATTTTCTGCGAAGTATTTCTGTGTTGCTTTTGTAAGTTATTCAGCTAGCACTAAAAATAAATCTGCTTACCAAACAACCTTCTATCTCTCCTGGTATGGATAATCATGTGTTCAGGTTTTTTAACCATAGATAAGATCCCAACTTATTTACTCTATAAAAACAATTTTCCATTTTTGAATCAACCACCATTCAATGCAACCTTTTTTCCCTACAGCTGTGGAAGCACTGGAGAAGAAGTTGAAGAAGAAGAAAGGAATGTTGGAGGAGCTGGAACGTGCTCTGTCATGTCCTAATATCAGGACTGAGTGTGTCACAATCCCTAGGAGCTTGGATGGTAGGCTTCAGGTAATTAGCTAATTAAGTAGGCTTCAGGTAATTAGCTAATTAATTTGTTAGTTTGTAGTTTATTTAGTTAAAACAGTTTTAACAGTCGCAGATAATTACGTCGTGTCGTGGTGAAATTGTTATGATCGATATTATCTCTTATTTTAATTTCATACTAACAGCACACTTACTAAGGCAATACTGATTAAGGTGTTTCAAAGTAATTATTTAACAGTAAACACGTGATCTAATGTAAACTCATACCATAACACCCGCAATCCGGTGAATCCGCATCTCAAAGGAATAAGAATTTTAGTCCCAATTTTAGTCCCAAAAATTTGAACCCTCCAGTGGTGTCAAAAACGCGAATTAAATAGGTAATAATTATTTTAGTCTCTTGAGTCTTGGCACCACTTTAGGGTTAGACGGGTTCCTGCTAGTACTTCTCATGCTTACAAAGTACAGTACAGAGTCCATCTGTAAAGATCCCCATCAATACTGAACGTTTTTATAACGGATTTACTACTCATATCAATTAAGTTGATATCAGATATCTACCTGTTTTCTTCAGCAACTAATTACCTAATTACCTAATTACACCTATTACCAGGTGTCCCACAGGAAGGGGCTCCCCCACGTTATTTACTGCAGAGTATGGAGATGGCCCGATCTTCAGACTCACCACGAGCTCAAATCAGTGGACTACTGCAAGTTTGGATTTGCTGAAAAGAACAAAGAAGTGTGTATCAACCCTTATCATTATATCCGCGTGGATACTCCTATATTACCACCTGTGCTGGTTCCAAGGTTCGGTTTATTTGTTAATTTATTATTAATTGATTTTCTGTTTATTTGCAGAAAAACGTATTCTTGAGTTAGATGAATTGTAGCTGATCACTATCGATCACAATTAAAATTCGAAGTCGGTAAACAACCCAATTAACTAATAACCCAATTAACTAATTACCTAAACCCCCGCCAGGTACCCAAACAGTCAGGGTCTAAACGACCGTCTGAACCAGTGGCAGCCCACCCCCGACCCCCCTATCCCTTACAACCAGACCCTGTCTCCCAACACGGACTTTAACCTCCAGCTTCCTTCTCCCCTCAACTCTCCTATAGCTGTGTGTCCGGGCAGTAGTGATCATGTCTCGGTAAGTTTCTTATTAATGGGTTAATTAACTAATTAATTAATTAAGTATGATGATGGAACGTCTTGTTAAGGTTGCTGATACCGTAATTATCATGACATGATTGAAAAATCGTTTTAAAGCCCGACATGATACTATCAAACTAATAGTTATTAAGCTAATTATTTGACTTGGATGATCAACTGAATAATAACGACCTTCTAAAATAATTATATAATTAATGACGGGACTAATTGATTAATGACGGGCCTAATTATGTAATTGCCTCCGCAGATCCCGTTCCGAGAGCCAGCTCACTGGGCTAAAGTAACGTACTACGAGCTAAACACTAGAGTTGGGGAGCCCTTCACCGCCTTGTCTCAACATAGCCAGATTATCATAGACGGCTTCACTGACCCAGGTAAGTTGTACACGTGACCAAGGTAAATTGTACACGTGACCAAGGTAAATTGAACACGTGACCAAGGTAAGCTACACATGGATTAGTCGAGGGATTTATTAGTGTAAGTAGCTGGGGTTAAGAGCTGGAGTCAGGAGGACCGGCCCATCTGCTCCTGGTGGAAATTAGCAATGAGAAAACGAGGAACAGGACCGTGGCCAGGATGTTTTATATAATGGCCAATAGTAGTTGTGCGGGGAAAGAGGGAAATTAAACCCTGGAAACTTTGGGAGCTTGAAAAGTTCTCGAATCATATAATAATTGGTAGTTTGTAGTAACAGAAGCTTTTAAAAACTTAGTTAATCGTCTTCAGGAATGTAGTTTAGCGATGAGTAATGATAATCAAAGTAGGCTGTACATTTTAGGTATAAAATAATAAATATCCTTTAAAATCACTGGAAACCCGCCACACAGATATCTTAACAGTGGGTTTAAAACGAATATTTTTCCTTCTGCTTCAATAGTTTACCTCAGCTCCAGTGTATGTAAATGTATGATGAAACTAAAACATTAACTTTCCAATACATTCTAATACATTCCATGTTCAGGTATGAACAAAGACCGGTATTGTATTGGGCTCCTGAGTAATGTTGCCCGGAACCCGATGATTGAGGCAACCAGAAAGCACATTAACCGTGGTGTAAAACTCACTAAAGTCAACGGAGAGGTAAGATATTTAACAATAATCTCAGAATGTGTTTGTATGTGTGTGTGTGTGTACTGTGTCTGTATGTGTGACTGTACACACGGCGTTTTGGTGCAGTCTGGACGTCGATGTTTTTAATAAGCTTAATCTTTTACATCAGATTTTTCTGTTACTGATGTTTAAATCTCAAATTATAGCAAATAAGGTTTTACCCATTTTACTACTAACTAAAACTGCCAAACTTCCCTAAAACTGGGTCAGACGAGATTAGACAAGTTTAGAACTGATATTTGAAATCGTTTGTCCCATTAGCTAATCACAACATAATGACAACCCAGATGACACTGCAATTAGCCTAATAACTTAATTACACATCAGTTAGTCTAATAACTTAATTACACATCAGTTTGTCTAATTATATTAATTACCAGGTACACGCTGAGTGTTTGAGTGACAGTGCGATATTTGTACAGTCAAGGAACTGCAACAGGGAGCGAGGTTTCCATCCTTCTACTGTTTGTAAACTTCCGCCAGGATACAAACTCAGGATATTCAACTACAGGTACTGAACACGTGATGTTTACTGATCACGTGTTATTTACTGAACACGTGTTGTTTACTGATCACGTGTTATTTACTGAACACGTGTTGTTTACTGATCACGTGTTATTTACTGATCACGTGTTATTTACTGATCACGTGTTATTTACTGATCACGTGGGACGTGTTGTTTATCGTTTGTTTGGGACTGGGGAGTTGATGTACATTCTTTTAAAATCATGTGACACAGAAAGTTATTCAAGATATGGTTGTTGTTGACATATTATTATGGTTTGAAGATGTTGTAAACACATAGCCCGCGCCCCCCCCCCCCCCCCCCGACCCCTGTATTTATATTGAATCCTAGAGCTAACATTTAATTGATTATTTATAGCATTATAACCAATAACAATAATCCCATCACAGCGACTTCTACCGTCTCCTGCAAGAAAACGTCCACAAGGGTTTTGAAGCTGTCTACGATCTTACCAAACACTGCTCTATAAGACTGAGTTTTGTCAAGGGTTGGGGCGCTGAATACCACAGACAGGTACTAGTGCTCCTTTATAATATTTTGTAATATTACAGATAGGTTTATATTAGCGACAAGAGAAACGCCATTGTTGGACGTGAGGAGAGTGAGGACTCCTCATTCCTCAAACTACATTAAAATTTAAATTAATTCCTTCTGTAAGGTCCTCAATAAATATAATAGATTTGTAGTGTTGTAATAAGTTTACAACGAAACTTGCTCCTTTATTTACTCCCCGAACTCATGTTATCAGCCTCCTGATTGGTCTGTGACGTCATCACATGAATTTTAGTGTGTGTGACGTCATCACATGAATTTTAGAGTGTGTGTGACGTCATCACATGAACTGTAGTGTTTGTGACGTCATCACATGAATTTTAGTGTGTGTGACGTCATCACATGAAGTGTAGTGTGTGTGTGTGTGTGTGACGTCATCACATGTAAGTGTAGTGTGTGTGAAGCCCGTGAAGTGTGACAGAAGAGTGTCATGGCGAGTTTGTATTGGCTGTAATTACAGTTCAGTGTGTAGGTTTCATAATGTGCGTAGTGTAAAATACACTGTGTACATGTATTTTGTACACGATTACTCAGGGTTTATAATTCACACATTACCGTGCTTAGTAAACTAAGTTGAAGAATTCCCGCTTTAAATTCCATCTCGGAAGGTTATCCGGTCCTTAGTTCTTATCATCGCTGCGTCTCTTATCGTGACTGAAACTTCAAAAATATTTATGCAAGTTAAGATCCCTTCCTTCCACCGATATGTGACTAATTTGACTATTATAATATAGAACCAGTTATTATTATATCACTAAGTCACTAGTTTTAAAGTATCTGTCCAATGTAGAACATGTAGCAAGGTATGACGATGTTAGTGTGCAGACCACTCCCATTTAACATGTACAAATCATTGTATTTTACTGTGTAAACTACACGTTGCATAATATGTATTGTATAATAATTAAGATATATTATAAGATCCAAGTTTGTTACTGTGTAAACTACACGTTGCATAATGTAATAAATTGTATAACAATTAAGATATATTATAAGATCCAAGTTTGTTACTGTGTAAACTACACGTTGCATAATATAATATATTGTATAACAATTAAGATATATTATAAGATCCAAGTTTGTTACTGTGTAAACTACACGTTGCATAATATAATATATTGTATAACAATTAAGATATATTATAAGATCCAAGTTTGTTACTGTGTAAACTACACGTTGCATAATATAATATATATTGTATAACAATTAAGATATATTATAAGATCCAAGTTTGTTACTGTGTAAACTACACGTTGCATAATATAATATATTTTATAACAATTAAGATATATTATAAGATCCAAGTAAAGTTACAATTTGATTATATTATTCTCCCTTATTCCCATTGCAAGCCTCAGAACAGCAATATATCGGAAATGTGTGTGATTCAAGGCACGACCACGCCTCAACATGTTACATGTGCTCCTTTATAAAACTCTCTTTCTTCCTCTATGAACATGTTAAACTCTTCTTTGAGAAGC